ACTTCACCAACTCACCATCGATCTCCAACTCTCTTTTTCCAAAGTCTCTCCTCCCTTTGCTTCACTCTCTTAATTTCTCTCCCACTTCTATCCAGTATAATTTCACCCTAAGATGCACTTCGGGAAACATTTCATGGGAAACTGCAGGCAATCTTTCAAAGACATAGTCATTTAATAAAGCTTCACAAATTTTTGTATTTGCTTTCCTCTCACTGACAAAGGACTTGCATGAAATGCAAACCTTCAGTCTAAAATCATTACGCTACTCACATTGACCAATTTCAGTACGTGTCGCCACAATTAAATACGTGGCTACACACAAAAAACTTTACCAGCCTAACTCCCCACACAGATAAGCCACAAGTGCATAAACTTCCATTTCTTAGACATAACCAGCTCGGTTCTGCCATGTCTGCCCAGATCAAAACTTCCCACTTAAGCCAATTTGGAGTCAGATAAAACTGTCAATGAGACTCAAGATCAAGCCAGAGCACTACGACAAAATGTTAAAGGCTGAGGAGTGGTCATTTCTTCAGCCAGATGAAAGTTTTTTACACTAAGTTAAAAGCTTGGGCTAACAAGATACTTTAATTTTCTTTCTATTAGCACTACTGAATTTTTATTTATAAGATTCAAGATTGTGTGTGTATGTGTGAACTTCCTTTAAGTTTCCACTTCTAAAGCTAGATCCTGCCTCCAAGGCGACACAGAGAATCCATCATTTGTTTTCCTGATCTGTTGCAGAGTCTTGGATGAATCAGAGTTTACACAGTGGACCAGAACTTGAGGCCTCTTTTTATGGAACATTTAGGAAGTTTTTTGTAAAAAAATACAATATTTACTCTTCCAATGCATTCTGGTCTTTTTGAAGAGTGGATATTTGTACCCCTCCTTAAAACTTTTATGATTTAGCAGGAAATTAATACACTTGCCATAAGATAAGGCTTTTTCCCATCTTTTATTTCCTGGACATTTGTTTTATGTATAAATTGTTTTATAAATAGCTGTTTCCTTAACTGAAATATTCTGATCTTGCTTAAATTGAATTATTTTTAGTACAGGCTTGAGAAGGAAACCATTCTAACGTTATAACAATGAACACTGCAGTGAGATGTACAGTCAATTTTAGCACAGCTGTAACCTCCACTGCAGAATGATGCTCCTTCTTGCTTGTATAAGGGCAAATATATTCGATGTTCTACAGAAAGCACTAGGTTGCGTAAAAACTAAAGAACTGTTCAGCAAAAAAACCTATACCATAAGGAGTTACTAAATCTACAGCACAATATAATATTTTAACTTTTTACTGTTAGCTGCACTACAAACTAGCTTGATCTAGCATTGATTTAGCCACATAATGAGCTACTGAAAATTTGTGTTTCAAAGGGAATCATTGCTATGATTTTTCATTCAGCATATACACAGGGATCAAAAAATAGTCTGGATTTTCCATCCCTTACTTGAAGCAGGTGCTGCTAGGGAATTAGGCCATCTTCGATCACTTCAAGGATCATCCGTTGACTTTATAAGCAGCAGAAAGGGATACACAGACCAGTTCCTCATAAATACTACGAAAAAGAGGATGTTCACTTGCTACTTACTCCAGTATACTGCGGTTGATTTATATAAGTCAGAAGAGTTATCTCAAGTTTTATAAGCCCATGAAAACTATGTACTACTACTCCTTGAGCAAACCAGGAGACAGCCTTCTGGCTCAGGGCCCATTTGGAAGGTAGACCTGGATTTCTTAACCAGGAAATGTACTTTTAATGGTTTTCTTATGGCATTCAGAAGAAAGGACTAGACTATACATACTCTGGACATAAAAGGGTGAAACTAAGAAAACAGTAGCTGACCTGTGTCATCAATATGTTCCTTCTGTGGAAAAACACGGCAAAACCACAACATTGGTTGTGGGTTAATATTTCGTACAATGACTACAAGGAGCCCTGGTGATACCAGTGCTCAGACTGCATTTATTTTCAGCAAGATAAATGAGAATATATGAATAGTCTTATTCCACCCCCAGAAGCTTAATTTCTATTGTATTTTGTTCATAGGTGAAAATGTTATTGAAGACAATGACCATTACTTTATTGTGACTAACGACAAGATTAGAAAGGGTAACTTTTTTTGACCAATGTCAGCAGAAAATAACGCTGCCCAACCCCACTGACTTTTCTGTGAATAGGTACCATTTAAACCTTTGTTTCTATTCCATTTGATTTCTTAACAAGAGCATTTTCATTCACTTATTAATATAGGAAAGAAAAAAAAAGAACAAAGAATAAGGTCAACAGTTGACATCATACTCCTTGTTTTCAAGATTTAACCTATCTTTTCCTTAGAACGATATAGAAGGAAAGCATGCTTAAAATGAGCATTTAATGTAATAAATGGAATTTAAGTTGAGCTTGAGATAGCTATTGATGCACAGATCCCAACTGGAAGACACGATGGGTAGATACCATTTTGTAATGACCTTCCTACAGCTATCTGCCCCATGCTAAAATTGTTGCGTAGGAAGAAATCTTTTCCTAAATTCAAACTGTAAGATTTAAAGAAAACAATACTTGCTTGCTATAGGCCTTTCTAACGAGCATTAATATGTGGCTTGACACACTGTAATAGGCTGTGTCCAAGAAGCTCAGACACAGTGTGGGAAAACGCTTCTCAGTTTCTTCCTCACACTATTTGCTTTAAAATGAAAGCTGGGGAGGCTCTGTGGAACCTGGATCCAAATTAATCTTAACAATCTTCTAGAAAATCTCCATTAAAGCTCAAAGCTTAAGAGCTTAATGTGTGCATAGTTTGTGCTTTGAAAGAGCCAGAGGCTCTAACCCCAAGAATTGATCTTATATTCATTTTTTGGTTTCATTCACCAGCACACAAGAAAGGCCAACGCTTGTTAATGTTTGAATTTATGATGTTTTAAACACTTTCAGTATGGCAACAGGTTTTGTTCTCTCTCCCGAGGTTGGTTGTTACTAACCATAAACTGAGACACCTGGAAAAAGCTAGACTTTGATGACTACAATTTCATGCCACCTCTGAGCAGCAGAATATCTCCATGGAGCTCCTGGTCCTCTCCAGGAAAACACTTTGTCCTCATCAGAGGCCATGCTGCCTGGCCAATTATTTTAGCTTCATTATTTTATTATTCTTTCTATTCATGACTGAAAATCACCACAGGTGAAACTCCTGGCCACAAGGAGAGGCCAGGAGGTGGGATGTCAACCTAGCCAAGAACCAGTCTAGTGAGTTGGGCAGTTCTTTGCTCCTATATCTAAGTGGCTAATGGTGCCTGAGGTTCGAGTAATTCCTCACTCATGGTCCTGGCTGAGCTGCGGTACAGCCACACTCGTGTCCAGGGTATCACCTTCCTGGCTCCACTTGCCCTGCCCTACTGCTAAAGCCTTGCCTGCAGATCACAGGACTGTGGTCACCCTGTGGGACAGCCCAATTTTGTGACTCCCTGACAATATCATCACAGAGATTTAGTTAGTGTATATATATATTTATATATTACTATACATATACATTACATTATTATATATGATACATATCAAACAATAATTTTTTTTCCCCCTAAGTCCCTTTTTCATACAATGTTAATTGGAGAAAAACTAATTTAAAGTTGAATGAACACAGGCTACCCCTCGAGTTTACCCTACCGAACACCCAAGTCAATGCACCGTGTCTGTTTTTCTAATTTTAACAACCTTAACTTTGAAAACACTTAAAAAAGCAGGTCAGAAACAAAACTAAATCAAGCACGTGACATGGCATGGTAAAATTTAGTATGCCCACATTAGGGAGACCTGTTACCGGTCATCTGATATGGCTGCGTGGGATTAATTTCTCATCCAAAACATCCTTTTTAAGGGGATGTATTATTATTCAGGTCACTAGTTTGTGAACTGTAAGATCTTCTAGATCCTACAACAGCGCATTTCCCTGAAAACCTCTCTTTGGAAAAAAAAAAACAAACCTGGAAATGAAGCAATCATTTCTAAAACATTTTCATATATTGAAAACTAGCTGAATCCAAAATAAAAACAGAAGAAATCAACTACAGCTTCCCCCTGGTGAGAGGTGGGGGAAAAAGAGCACAAATCTGAAGGATTTTGTGCACATTCCCATCCACCATCAAGAGAAATCATCTCTCAGGCATAGTTTTACCCCTCGCACTGCTTCTGCACAGCGAGGGGGTGTCAGTTCAGGGGCAAAATGATGCAGCAGGGAACGTTTTGACCTGAGACAAACCTGGTATAGTGAAGCCTTTGTAACGATGGGATTACTTACAGCATCACACTGACTTGGGCGATTTTTTTCTCCAGGATTCGGTGACATTATGCTTCTAGTTGGGATTATTTTGATGACATGAAACATAGCCCGTTCTTCACCGCTGTGACACACTTGAATTATTGGGATATTAGGCATTGCTTAGGTAAGGAGGATTGGTTCTAGTTCGAGATGGTAGCACAAACCAAAGGAAAGTTTGAGAGAGTCAAATTTAAGGAGTGAGAGACTTGGCTTTATGTCTTTCTTGTTACTTCTCTAACCCATATTTTATCGCATCCTACAGCTTTTGCTTCTCTAGAAGCTTGCCATTTACCTCTAAAGCACAAGAACGCACTTTGAATGGACTTGCTTCTACAGCAGTTTATAAATCAGGTTTTTCCCTAGTGAGGGTGGGTTTTTTTCTCATGGGTATTTTCTTCAATAAGGTACACTTCAAATGACTCATATTAAAGCTTCTTCTCTTACACCTCAGCTGTGTGACTTTCTGCCAATGAATAATTCCCAATGGGAACAAAAGTAAACCGTGGCAAGACTCCTCCTGGGGCGGAGGATATGGCTTACAGATGGTTAAAAAGTAAATTAAAAAAAAAAAGAGATGAGAAGGAAACAAATCAAATACTGCATTCACAAAAAAAGCCAAAAGATGAGGATGGCAGATTCACTGTATTTTTTGATAAAGTAAACAAGTGTCATACCTTTTTAAAAATTCCATATACTCAGTATGCTTGATGAGGCCTGTCCTCATCATTATTGTTTGAAAACATTGCCGATCAATAGCCCAAAGTTTCACATTTACGAGAGCTGGAAAAAACAAGACAAGGGGAAAATGTAATTAGCAAAATGTTAAAATTTGAAAAATCTGTTGTGAACTGCAGAGGAAAACAAATTCATTCATGAGAAAGCATGAAAATGGATACACACTTCAAAACAGTAACATAAAACTCATCTGCTGGACAATGGACTAAGCATGCACTGAAATGATCCCAAATATCTGAAATTTTAGCTGTAGTACATGGGCTTTTGGAAAGATCGCCTAAAAGCAACTGTGAGACGAGAAGAAATCAATGCAGGCTGAAAGCAAGCAAGAAATAGGGGGTCAGTTCACCATAACCTGGGATACATCATTGCCTATGACACTGAGTGATTTGGAGAAATTTTTAGCACATTATCTTGTTTCCGAGACAGCAAAATTCATTAAGGTTTCATCCTACTCCCAAAGTAGATGACAAATTTCTCCTTGACCTCGAGAGATTTTCCAGAACCAAGTCCTGTTATATCCTAATAATTGAACACCTCCCGATTCTGGAGGTTTTGAGAAATTTTTTTCCAACTTTAGTTTTCAGGTCTCTGATAAATTCCAACACTTCAGTGCTACACACCATATGCTACATCATATACTTCAGAAGCAAAGTCCCGTTGTAAAAACAAGCATAACAGATTACCAGTGCATAAAGTACAGATGCTCAAAGAAAACAGCATCATGTGAATTGGATGTGCAGAACCCCAAATGGTACAGATTTTTATCTCAGATGTGGCTTACATGTTTGCATTGCTTCCATATATACAGTTTATAATAAGAGTTTCTCCTTAGAGAAACAGTTTAATTAAACAAAACTACTCTAAAGACCTCGGCACTTGTATTAATTTTTTTTTCAGAGAGTAATCGCAATAAATTTCATCCCCATATGCCACTTCACTACAGGAAACAGAAATGAGCAAAATTACTTTCAACAAAATATTTACAAATTTTCTCACAAATAAAAATCCGAGAAACGACTTTGCTTTTATTTGCTGGTCCTTTAGTTCACAAACACCCTCGTTAATTAGTTTTTATCCCTAGCTGCAGTTGCAGGATGTAAAACCTTCAAAGTGCAAATTCAAATTTTTCTTCTCAAATTGCATTGCAGAACTAAGTGAATGCATCACATCATTTAAAGTCTCTTCTCATTTTCAAGACAGAAACTCCTTTTTGAGAAGTGTTTTTAGTTTTATAATCAAACTGATGGGAAAGAATGACCTATAGCTTTAGTATGAAAGATTTCTGTTAAAAAAAATTAGTCTTTCACTTTCTTCAGAGTGGAAGAGACAACTAATATGAATGAGATCTCTATTTTTCTGGTTTTTTACTGCCTTCTGCAAAATAGGGGTTTTAATTGATTTTTAGATGAGCTCTATCCTAGAGGAACAAATGAATATTATTCAACAGAGTGTGTGGTGGGGGACTCACTGAAAAGGACAGTCTCCCGCTGTACTGGCTGATGATGACGAGGGTTGCTATCAAGTCACTAAAAATTCAGTAAAATCCCTGAAATTCAGTGACAGCAGGAAAAGATGATCTTGTAAACTAGGTGCTTTCTATCAGAAATGAAAAAATGTAGGGGATTTCAGCCAGCCTGGCGATTTTAGGATGGTTTTTATTCAGTGTAATGTATGATTATCACACACGGCAAAAAGGTGATTTGCTTGGTCATGACTGGCAAAAACATCAATAACGGAATATTTTAAAAAAAGATGTAGTGAATGTGAAAATAATGAATGAAATAAGAGTTTATAATTTTTTTTTGTTTGGACTAAAATATGCAATAGCATCCCAGTGTCCTATCATGAACATGTACCATGAACACACCTTATTCATTTATCAGGAATATTTTTTCCAAATACAGCCATTCTTTAAGGTAAAATTCAAGTTTTCACCTGTATTTGTTTCATACAGTCTTCATAGCAAAGGCATGACTGTTAAGCTGACACCGCTAGTTGAGTAAGGTCAGAAGACAGCAAATACTTAAATTCACCGCTTTTTCTATTGTCTCATGTAATTCTGAAAGGCAGGGCATCCTTCCTATAAATAATTTTATCTACTCCTGCTTCCCAATGTATTTTAATGGGTTCATCATCTTATGCAAACAAGTAGCTCTTAAAAATAAAAGGTTTCATCCCAGTCTCAATCCTAGCCAGCTGGTCCTTAATGGACACGTTCAATAGGCACCTGGGACCAAATTCCTGTTGGAGTCCGTCACAGCATGTAAGAGCACGGCCTCTAAATGGCACAGTCCCCATCCTTGGCCCATCAGACGCATTTATGGGCTATACGTTATTATGCCCTAAATCAGTGACTGATGGCAATCAGCTAACTCTTATTTTTCATGCATGTAGTGAACAATGAAGGTACTCAGAGGATTTTCCTTCCTGCAAGGGATTCAGATATAGCTGCAAAGATACAACCTATCTCTGAGGTCCACACGGGTGCCACAGAGCCAGATAAGTGGCAAACACTTACTCATTCTCCTCTGATCCACAGATGCTTTATGAAGCACTACATCATATTTGATTCCCCAAAGACCAGAAAGAGTCATTGCTGCATGGCCAGTGCTAGCTAGGCTCTCACTCAGTCTCTTAATGCACTTAAGTAAATGACAAATGTAATTTAGTACCTCTTGAGCAAAATGAAGATCCATTTATTGCTGCTAGAAATTGCTCTGTTGAAACAAATCTCTGCAGCTGGCAAACTTCATGGGAGCACAGGACCAGAGGCTTACTTAACGAGCCTGGAACAAGTCACATTCCCCTGAAGGTAACCCCTAGTAACCCAAGTTATATATACATACAACTATATTTCTATATATGAATATATATATATATCTCAAATTACATATATACACACATAGATATAATTATTTATAATTTTATATATAGTATATATAACTATATAATTTTTTTTTTTTTTAATATATCCCCCAATTATACATACAGCTGTATACTAGCTAACTGTACTAACAAGGCCGTGCAGCTCAGGAAAAATTAAGTGTAGACAATGCACTTCTGCACTGCTAATTATAATCACTACTCATACTTTATATTCACATTTATCCTGCTTAATGATAAACAGATGTTTTAATAATGGCTAATCACAGTAGAGCTTTGAATGTCAATAAGACCCTTATAATCAGGTGTGAGAATCATCTCCTGTTACGCTTAAAATCTTGTGTAAATATGTTAGAGGGTTACTGAAGGAACACTATGAATTCTGTAAGATTTGACGATATTAACAACTTCAAAGAGAGATATTTATGAGTGCCCGAGATGAAAAATATGTATATGGGATGTATACCACAAAGTAAATTCCACCATGAATAACTGAGTCATAACAGATACAGACAGAAGTGACACAGAGATTTTCTTGTCCGTCCCTCTGCAAAGAGCCTGTGTTGGATGCTGGTAAAATTTTCTGTGAAGCATGGTTTCAGGAGAATATCGTATTCTCTGACTGCAAAAACTACCACCATAAAGGAACATGATAAATAACATTATAAAAACAGATGTGTATACATATATCTATATCGGGAGTTCCCTAAGACTACTCAATAATATAAAATATTATACTGCAATCGAAGCAGATAACTGGAGTTATACTACAATTAAAGTTTATTGCCTCTTTTACACTTTTTCGTAATAAAATATTATAGCTGGGGTTTCATTTTATCTTTGTAATAGCACATAATGCAATCACCGATCATCCTAGAAGCCACCAAGATTTTGGCTGGCACGCAAAAAAAGTAGCAACACTATAAGGCAACAATATGCATGCTCACAAACTAAGATATATTATAAAATATATATTGTCATATACACTCCTCCTTCACTCTGAGGTACGGATAAAAATAGGGATGCCCAGGACTGGGACCTCTAAATGGATTATATGATATAGTTTTCCAGGTGAGGGTCTCAGACGATGCTGGGCATTCTGCAGTCATTGCAGAATATTTTAATTGCATGTTAGAGATGAGCAATCCCATCAAATGAGGATTTGGTGCAAGCTCCTAACAAAGGCACTAGATAATTAAAAAAACACGGTTAAAGCACAGAGTGGTTAAATTAACCTCAGCAAAGGCACAACTTCTTACGCTTTCTAGTAAGATTTTCCTTCAAAAATGGATTCATCTGAATCCGAAACTCCAGATGAAAGTGAGTTGGTGCAAGGGCTGAAACCAAAGCAAAATGCTCCTGGATAAACAGGGAAGAGCAGTGAGAGCCAAAGCAAAAGAATCAGGATTTCATGGGTCAAAACTGGACAGGGGTGGAGATATTATCATTAAAGTTTAAATTTGAAGTGTTCATCGCGGTCAATACTTAATTTCTGATAACAAGTTGACTGAAATTATTTAAATCAATCATTTCAGTATATGAGTCGGACACCTCTCTACACCAGAATCACTGATTTAAGCAAATAAACAAATTCAATAAACAATTTCAAACTTCTTTTCCAAAAAGAAATTTTTCCAAAAAGAAGTTTTCTTCCTATTCATCTACCTGGGCAACCTATGAAAATATATCCCATTTTAAACAAGCGAAAATACATCCCCAGGGATATACAGTCCCCAACACAGCCCAAAGCTTGGGCTACGTCCTGGCTGGTTTATCCACGTCTGCTGGCTCACTCGTGTGCCGGGAGGTCTCTGAACATAAAGTAAGGCAAGATAGAGGTATTTTCTCTGGTTGTAAAGGATCATATGTGCATATCCTTCATGACGCAGCACAAACCTGATGGATTCAGTGGCTTAGACCCTCTCTGAGTGCCTGTCCAAGGCAGGGCACAATTTCAGGGTGATGCATTAAATAATAGGGACTATGCATTATTGATCTTCTCCAAGGCTTAATTCTCTTAATTTTTAATACTTGTCGTCATGTCCCCAGCCTGCTGAAGGACAAAGCTTTTGCTCTTTTGCTTCTTTTCTTCTTGTGGACCCAGCAGCTGAAAATCCTGAACTTCAGGCTCAGATCCAAGCTACTCCTTTTCTCTGTAT